GACCTCGCCGACCCTTGGGGGGCTGCGATCTGCGAACCTGTCGCCACTTTCGAGCGCTGCTGGTGGGTCCAGCGGAGTGAGGCACCGCGCAGATCTGAGCGGGACCGTGCCGTCCCTGGGGGGCTGCGATCTGCTAACCTGTCGCCACTTTCGAGCGCTGCTGGTGGGTCCAGCGGAGTGAGGCACCGCGCAGATCTGAGCGGGACCGTGCCGTCCCTGGGGGGCTGCGATCTGCTAACCTGTCGCCACTTTCGAGCGCTGCTGGTGGGTCCAGCGGAGTGAGGCACCGCGCAGATCTGAGCGGGACCGTGCCGTCCCTGGGGGGCTGCGATCTGCTAACCTGTCGCCACTTTCGAGCGCTGCTGGTGGGTCCAGCGGAGTGAGGCACCGCGCAGATCTGAGCGGGACCTGCCGTCCCTGGGGGGCTGCGATCTGCTAACCTGTCGCCACTTTCGAGGGCAGCTGGTGGGTCCAGCGGAGTGGCAGAGGCACCGCGTAGATCTGAGCGGGACGTCGCCGTCTCTAGGGGGCTGCGATCTGCAAAACTGTCGCCACTTTCGCTGGGGGTCCAGCGGAGTGAGGCACCGCGCAGATCTGAGCGGGACGTCGCCGTCCCTTGGGGGGCTGCGATCTGCGAATTTGCCGCCACTGTCGATGGCTGCTGGTGGGTCCAGCGGAGTGAGGCACCGCGCAGATCTGAGCGGGACCTCGCCGACCCTTGCGGGGTTGCGATCTGCGAACCTGTCGCCACTTTCGAGGGCTGCTGGCAAGTCCAGCAGGGTAAGGCACCACGCAGATCTGAGCGGGACGTCGCCGTCCCTTTGGGGGGCTGCGATCTGCAAACCTGTCGCCACTTTCGCTGGTGGGTCCAGCGGAGTGAGGCACCGCGCAGATCTGAGCGGGACGTCGCCGTCCCTTGGGGGGTTGCGATCTGCGAATTTGCCGCCACTGTCGATGGCTGCTGGTGGGTCCAGCGGAGTGAGGCACCGCGCAGATCTGAGCGGGACCTCGCCGCCTCTGAGGGGTTGCGATCTGCGAACTTGTCGCCACTTTCGAGGGCTGCAGGTGGGTTGAGTCGAGGCACCGCGCAGATCTGTCCCTGGGGGGCTGCGATCTGCGAACCTGTCGCCACTTTCGAGGGCTGCTAGTGGGTCCAGCGGAGTGAGGCACCGCGCAGATCTGAGCGGGACGTCGCCGTCCCTGGGGGGGTGCGATCTGCGAACCTGTCGCCACTTTCGAGGGCTGCTTGCAGGTCCAGCAGGGTGAGGCACCGCGCAGATCTGAGCGGGACGTCGCCGTCCCTTTGGGGGGCTGCGATCTGCTAACCTGTCGCCACTTTCGCTGGTGGGTCCAGCGGAGTGAGGCACCGCGCAGATCTGAGCGGGACGTCGCCGTCGATGGGGGCTGCGATCTGCGAATTTGCCGCCACTGTCGATGGCTGCTGGTGGGTCCAGCGGAGTGAGGCACCGCGCAGATCTGAGCGGGACGTCGCCGTCCCTTGGGGGGTTGCGATCTGCGAACCTGTCGCCACTTTCGAGGGTTGCAGGTGGGTTGAGTCGAGGCACCGCGCAGATCTGTCCCTGGGGGGCTGCGATCTGCGATCCCGTCGCCACTTTCGAGGGCTGCTAGTGGGTCCAGCGGAGTGAGGCACCGCGCAGATCTGAGCGGGACGTCGCCGTCCCTGGGGGGGTGCGATCTGCGAACCTGTCGCCACTTTCGAGGGCTGCTGGCAGGTCCAGCGGGGTAAGGCACCGCGCAGATCTGAGCGGGACGTCGCCGTCCCTTGGGGGGCTGCGATCTGCGAACTTGTCGCCACTTTCGCTGGTGGGTCCAGCGGAGTTAGGCACCGCGCAGATCTGAGCGGGACGTCGCCGTCGATGGGGGCTGCGATCTGCGAATTTGCCGCCACTTTCGATGGCTGCTGGTGGGTCCAGCGGAGTGAGGCACCGCGCAGATCTGAGCGGGACCTCGCCGACCCTTGGGGGGTTGCGATCTGCGAACCTGTCGCCACTTTCGAGGGTTGCAGGTGGGTTGAGTCGAGGCACAGCGCAGCTCTGTCCCTGGGGGGCTGCGATCTGCGAATTTGCCGCCACTGTCGATGGCTGCTGGTGGGTCCAGCGGAGTGAGGCACCGCGCAGATCTGAGCGGGACCTCGCCGACCCTTGCGGGGTTGCGATCTGCGAACCTGTCGCCACTTTCGAGGGCTGCTGGCAAGTCCAGCAGGGTAAGGCACCACGCAGATCTGAGCGGGACGTCGCCGTCCCTTTGGGGGGCTGCGATCTGCAAAACTGTCGCCACTTTCGCTGGTGGGTCCAGCGGAGTGAGGCACCGCGCAGATCTGAGCGGGACGTCGCCGTCCCTTGGGGGGCTGCGATCTGCGAATTTGCCGCCACTGTCGATGGCTGCTGGTGGGTCCAGCGGAGTGAGGCACCGCGCAGATCTGAGCGGGACCTCGCCGACCCTTGCGGGGTTGCGATCTGCGAACCTGTCGCCACTTTCGAGGGTTGCAGGTGGGTTGAGTCGAGGCACCGCGCAGATCTGTCCCTGGGGGGCTGCGATCTGCGAACCTGTCGCCACTTTCGAGGGCTGCTAGTGGGTCCAGCGGAGTGAGGCACCGCGCAGATCTGAGCGGGACGTCGCCGTCCCTGGGGGGGTGCGATCTGCGAACCTGTCGCCACTTTCGAGGGCTGCATGGGGGGCTAGCATAGCGATCTGCGAACCTGTCACCACTTCCGAGGGCTGCTGGTGGGTCCGGCGGAGTTAGGCACCGCGCAGATCCGAGCGAGACCTCGCCGTCCCTGGGGGGCTGCGATCTGCGAGGCTGCTGGTGGGCCCAGCGGAGTGAGGCACCGCGCAGATCTGCGTGGGACCTCGCCGCCTCTGGGGGGTTGCGATTTGCGAACTTGTCGCCACTTTCGAGCCCTGCTGGTGGGCAGGTACTCGTGCCCCGCATTGCGCAGGGGTTGGGTACGTCGGCAGGGCCATTTTCGGATGTGGTCCTGACGATGGGAATAACATGACACAGTGGGTCTCCCCGTCGAACCTACAGAACAGAGTAGGTATAATGCTCGTAGATCTGCGAACCTTCGACGCATTTTTTCCCTACCTAGGCTCTGCCTAGAAGGGTTCTTACTCTCTTAGCTTAAAGGGGCCGGGCAGTGCACACCGCCTGGGCGGTTCCCCCAGTCCCCGCCCCGCGGTTCCCCCAGTCCCCTGGGAGCTTTAGCTTTAGCTTTAGCTGTAGCTTAGCTTTAGCTTAGCTTTCGCTTAGCTTTAGCTTAGCTTTAGCTTAACTTTAGCTTAGCTTTAGCTTAGCTTTAGCTTAGTTTTAGCTTAGCTTTAGCTTAACTTTAGCTTAGTTTTAGCTTAGCTTTAGCGAGCTTTAGCTTAGCTTTAGTTTAGCGTTGGCTTAGCTTTAGCTTAGCTTCAGCTTAGCGTTAGCTTAGCGTTAGCTTAGCTTTAGCTTAGCTTTAGCTTAGCTTCAGCTTGGTTTTAGCTTTAGCTTTAGCTTTAGTTTAGCTTTAGCTTAGCTTTAGCTTAGCTGTAGCTCAGCTGTAGCTCAGCTTTAGCTTAGCTGTAGCTTAGCTTTAGCTTAGCTGTAGCTTAGCTGTAGCTTGGCTTTAGCTTAGCTTTAGCTTAGCTTTAGCGTAGGTTTAACTTGCTTTAGCTTAGCTTTAGCTTAGCTTCAGCTTAGCTTTAGCTTAACTGTAGCTTAGCTTTTAGCTTAGCTTTACTTTTACTACTAATGCTGCTTTCCTAGGGGCTCCAACTCCTAGGTAGGGTCGCACTGGGATAATTTTTGTAAGACCCGACGAACGAATCAGCTCTGGGGTGGATCCATTCTGTAGTCGATGCCCTGCTCGAGCTGTGCAACCGCACTGATCCTGGCAGGGCCGACCCTGGGGCCCGGGATCGGGGGATACGCCTTCCTGCCCAAGCCAGTACAGTCGGGGCCCTGAAGAAGGAGCCCTTTTCGTTGGGGAGGGGCTCCGCGTTCCTTGAGTGTTTCGCAGCTTGACTCAGGCTTCCTTTCTGTTTCCGACAGGAAATCGAAGGTTAACTTATTGAGAAAAGGGGCCTCGTTCCTTATTTAGGGTTCCTTAGGTCAACGCCCCGACTGTAAGGGAGCAAACATGACATAGGCATAAAAACTCGGAGGTCCGCGCGGATTCCTCGGATTGGCGCTTGATCGGCGCACCGGGGCCCGACGCCAACACCAAGATCCCACTGGAAAGGAAACATGCATAGCCTCCGTGGACTGCCGCCGCCCGTGACTTCGGGCTTGCGTGTCCCGCGCTGATGGAGGCCAGCTCTGAACGCGTGGGAACAAGCGGGGGTCTCTTCTATTTCCCCAGGTGGGCGTTCGGATTTCCACGGGCCGCGCGAGGCCCCTGGGCCGCGCGAGCCCAGCCGGCCCGATGAACCCCACAAGTCCCACAAAGGTTTCTCGGGCCGCACGTGCGCCGCAGCGCGCATGGGCCCAATGCGCCGCGCTGGCCTAGCGAGCCGCGCGGGCCCCATGGGCCCCCTGACTCGTCAGGGCCACATCGGGTTTCTGGGCCTTGCGAATCCCGCGGGGCATGAGAGCCCCATAGGCCTTACGGGCGCCATGAGCCCCATAGGACGCTTTCCTATCATGCAAACCCCATGGCCTGCGAATTCGGAGAACAATGCGAGCCATCTCAAGCTTTCCAGGCTCCTTTGGGTCGCTCAGCCCCCACAGGGAAAGCGCTGCCAACTTTTCCAGTGGCGTCTTGGTGCTGGTGCCGGCTTTTCGTTCCATACAACATCACAAATCCGACAACAGCACCAAGGCCCCCTCTGGAACGGCGGCCCCCGTGGGCGAGAGTCTTCCCTCTGCTGTCCCTCCTCGCCCGAGAGCGCCCGCCAGGTTCGCTTCTCGCTTGCGCTTTTTGCTTCCTGCTCTCTCTCCTGCCTGCTGCGCGCGCCGATCCCGCCGTGCCCCGCGAGCTGGCCGCGGTCAGCCGGTGCCGCGCGAGGCGGGCCCGGGAGGCGCAGGCCCCCACGGGCGGGCGGGCATCGGAGCAGAGCGGCCGAGGTCGCAGCACGGCATGGACGAGGTGGCGGCTGCCTGGTGCCAGGACGGCCTCCCCCTCTTGGGGGGGGAGGATCGGCGGCGGGCCCGGGGAGCAGGCCAGAGGGGGCGGGGCTTCCCGGAAGGCCCCGAGGCTCCTCCCGCGGCCATCTGGGAACCTTGCTGAGCCTGCTCCGGTGGCCGAGGCGGCTTTTCAGAGGGCGCGAGGGTTTCTGAGAAGCTCAGTCGCCTCCTGAGAAGGCCTGCCTCCTCTCACTTCCCCCCCGAGCGCGCCGCTGAGAGGGGGAGGGAGGAGGGGCTTGGGTGCTGTTCGGCCGAGGAGGAAAAAGCATCGGTACCGCCACCCTTGGCTCGTTTTCGCTTGTTCGGGCCTCCACAGGGACCCTCGTCGCCACGGCTGGAGTCGCCTCGATCGCGTTCCAGTGGCTTGCACCTCACCGAGAGCGTTCCGGGGGTGCCCAGATCCTCCAGAACGGCCGCCAGAGGCCCGAAAATCAGTATCGTTTATCCGATCCCCATCCCCATCCCCATCCCCTTCGAGACCCCCACCAAATTACCACCCCAGTTGGGGATACACCCCTCGAAACCCGAAGGGGACGACCTATATCCCCATCTAGGGGGGTAAATCGGCCAGTGGGACCCAGGCCACGCCGCTGGGGATGGGGATCGGTTGAACGATACTCAGAAAACCAGACGGTGAGGATCATTTTGCGGGGCTCCGGGGGGGGATGCGTCGACCCCCGAGCGCCCAGTCGTCGCCGGCTGCGGCCCGACCGTCCGCCCCGCCAGGGGCCGTGCGGAGTCGCCGTCGGGGGCCTTATCGCTGATCTGTCGGCGGCGTATCGCCGATTCCAGGTCGGTGGGGCCTTATCGCTGATCTGTCGGCGGCGTATCGCCGATTCCAGGTCGGTGCCCCCTGTCGTTGCGCCTCAAGGGGAGGGGGGGAGGGGGCCTGGGAGGCCCGGCTTGGGGAGTCGTCGCAGCAGTTGCAGTACGTCTGCTCTTCCCAGGCCATCCGCGACGGTCGTTCGGAGCGGCTATAGCTCGACGGATCGATAGGTGAGCCGTCGATTTGTCGCAGCCTGTCTGGTGGAGCCTTCTATGTCCGGGCAGCTCTGCACTTCGAGGCGGGCCTCCGAGGGGGGGGGAGGAAAGGGGGAGGGGCGGGGGGAAGGAGGCGAGGGGTCTGATGGCAAGGGGGAGCGATACTGCCCCGCCAGCCAGCCGTTTGGCTTGCTCCTAGTCATCCTGTGGAGTTGGGTCTTCGTTTTGACGAGAGAGTCCGCGCGTCTCCTCCTCTTTTCCTCTTCCTCCTCCTCCTCCTCCTGCTCCTCCTCCTCCTCCTGTCCTCCCCATCCTCCTCCTGCTCCTCCTCCTCCTTGTCCTCCTGCTCCTTCTCCTCCTGATCCTCCTCGTCCTCCTCCGCCTCCTCCTCCTCCTCCTCTTCTTCCCCCTCCCATCCCTGCCTCTGCCTTCCGCATGTCTCTGTTTCTGCACACCCCTCACACGTTTCGTGGCCCCATAGGGAGCTTCATCGAAGCTCCCAGTGGTGCAGCCCGCATGCGTCCCCGCCATTACTTTCGGCACACACAATCACACGTTTTGAGGTCCCATAGGGAGCTCCACCGAAGGTCCCAGAGGCGCAGCCCGCATGCGTCCTCGCCACATATTTCGGTACACCCTCACACGTGTCGTGGCCCCATCGGGAGCTCCACCGAAGGTCCCAGTGGCGAAGCCCGCATGCGTCTGCAACCCATGTCGTCACACCCTCGCACGTTTCGCGGCCACATAGGGACCTCCACCGAGGATCCCAGTGGCGCAGCCCGCATGCGTCCACGCCACCCACGTCTGGACACCCTCACACGTTCCGTGGCACCATAGGGAGCTCCACCGAAGGTCCCGCGGCGCAGCCCGCATGCGTCTCGGCCATTTGTTATTTCGGCGCACCCTTCATTCGATGCGGGGCCCCACAGGGGGCTCCACCGAAGGTCCCAGTGGCGCAGCCCACGTGCGTCACGGCCAGTTCGGCACACCCCTCCCACGTGTCGTGGCCCCATAGGGAGCTCCACGTCGGCGCACCCCTCCCACGTTTCGTGGCCCCGTAGGGAGCTCCACCGAAGTTCTCACTGGCGCAGCCCGCATGCGTCCCTGCGACGCCATGGCTGGAGGGGGAGGAGGAGGATGAGGAGGAGGAGAAGGAGGAGGAGGAGGAGGAGGAGGAGGAAACGAACACCAAAATTGGACACGCGCGAACTTCATTGGATCCGACGGCGGTCACCCCAGACGCGTCGCCTGTTCAAGACGCAAAACCGTTGTTCTGGGCCCAAGAGGAACACATTTCGTCCTGGGGATGTATTGTTCTGTTTTGGTCAGTCGTTGTCGTTTTCTCAGGTCTAAAGGGTGATTCTTGTTGATCCCCCCACTGCCCATTGTGTTTTTCAATGACAGTGCTCGTCTCGGGGCTCGCACCTGGTCTGTCATAAGGGAACGTCTTGCGCGTCAGATTGTGTCGCTGGCCCATGGTTTACAGCAACATCGGCTCCCGTCCGACACGTCTTCTTCAATTCCTCAAAAACCGCGCGTTCGCGCATGACTCCCTTGCGAATTATGCAGGAAGCGCGCTCTCGCGTGGCATTTCCTTGCAATCTGTGGAATCGCCGCCCCTTCGACACTCAGGAATCATGCTCTCGCGCTCTGGATCTCCAATCGATTCGCGCTCTGTCGCTCGACACCTCCCCGCGATCCCTGCGTGACCGACGCGTCGAGCGACCCGCCCGCCTTGACGTGGCCGTCTGGGCCCGCCCGCCCCGCCCCGCCCCGTCCGTCGCGCCCGCCTGGTTCGGTCGCTTGCTTTTGTGTGGTCCTAGTCTTCCTCCCGCTACAGTCGAGATTGATTGGTAGGTCGACCCTGCCAAATCAAGGGTGCCCTTGTGTCCTGAGCTTCGCGACCCATGCCTTCTTACATTCCTATGACAATGTGGCCCTCCCAAGGGTCTTGTGTCCTCTCACGTGTCCTCTCCAATCAACCCCGACTGTAGTCTCTCTCGTGCTCCATCTTTCTCTCTCTCCGTTGCTCTTTCACTTTTCCCTTCCCCTGTGTTTGGGGGCTGCGCCAACTGCACCTGGCAGGTCAGGAAGATATGCCCCCTAATGGGGGTATGACCGAAGACGAACAGCGTGGGTATAGAGTTTTTGTGATGTCAGGTAGAAGTGTGGAGTGACACGCGAGCAGATACATAAGAACGAACAGTCTGAAGGTGATAGTTGTTGTCGTCGTCGTCGGTATCGTTATCGGTGTCGTTGTCGTTGTCGTTATTTTTGTTGTTGCTTTAGTTGTTGCTGCTGCTGCTGTTGTTGAATTCTCATTTCTGAAGAATAATTATTGTTGATCCCCCCACCGGTGCATACTGTTGTTTCTCAATCAAAGTGTGCCCCTCGACGCTCGCATACTGTTTTTTGACAGGGCAAGTCTTCCTGCTCAAACTGGGACCCTGGCCCCCGGGTTACGACAACAACGGCTCCCGCCTGAGACTTCCTTACAATTTAGCCAGGACCCCCGCTCCCGCCCGAGCACTTTATTCAGGAATCGCGCTCTCGCTGGGGACTTCCATGCAATTTATTAAGGAATCGCTCTCTCGGCGCTCTGGAGTCGCGCTCTCGCTGGAGACTTGCTTGCAACTTACTGAAGAATGGCCTTGCGTTGGGATTTCCTGCAATTTGCCCAAGCGCCGCGCTCCCGACACCCAGGCACCCAGGAGTCGCGCCCGTTGTGGCCCCATGTGCACGCCCTTCGTGGCCCCGCTGTCGCCATTTGTGTCCCCCTCACTGTCCTACGTGGCCCAGTTGCTACCCTCAGTGGCCCCATAGTTGCCTTCTGTGGCCCCGCATTATCTGCACTTCGTGGCCCCCGCTCGTTCGCGCTCTTCGTGGCCCCATACGCATTCCCTTCGTGTCCCCGCTGTCGCCCTTCGTGGCCTACTTCGTGCCCTTCGTGGCCCTGCTGTCGTTCTCTCTCGCTCTCGCTTTCGCTCGTCGTCGCCGTCGTCGTCGTCGTCGCCGTCGTCTTCGACGTCGTCGTCGTCGTCGTCGTCGTGGTCGGTCCCCTGTCCGTCCCTCTTGGGGTCGGGTCGACGGTCCGCGGCCGCCCCGCCGATCAGCGCTGCCGCTGGCCAGGCCGACGGTCCGCGGCCGCCCCGCCGCTTGCCGGGGCCCGGCCTGCAGGGAAGACAGGTATTCCCCCCAAAAGGGGCTCGATCGAAGACGAAGAGGGCGGGTATCGAGGGTTGGGGGAATACGCGTTATTGGATACTCGAGCATATAAGGGCGAACAGTCTTAAACTTACTTAATTATTATTATTATTATTATTATTATTATTATTATTATTATTATAAGTCTTGTTATTGTTATTGTTGTTGTTGTTGTTGTTGTTGTTGTTGTTGTTGTTGTTGTTGTTGTTGTTGAACTCTCACTACAGGAAAATAATTGTTGATCCCCCCTTCGGTGGCCACTGTGTTTTATTAATTGAAGTGCCTCCCCTGGGGCTCGCAACCGGTTTTTAACCAGGGAATGTCACTAGGCTCAAACTGCGTTAACGGCCCCCGGATTACAACAACGGCTCCCGCCTGAGATGTCCCTACAATTTAGCCAGGACCCCCGCTCCCGCCTGAGACTTCGCATTTTGTTCAGGAATCGCGCTCTCGCTGGGGACTTCCATGCAATTTGTTCAGGAATATGTCTCTCTTTCGGCGCTCTGGAGTCGCGCTCTCTCTCTGGAGAGTTGCTCGCAACTTATTTAAGAATCCCGCTCTTGGACTCAAGCGCCGCGCTCTCGACACTCAGGCACCCAGGAGTCGCGCTCACGCTTAGGACTCCCTCGTAGCTTACTTAGGAATCGGGATTTCGCTGCCCTCCGTGGCCCTGTTGCAGCCCTTCGTGGCCCCCTGGCTGCCCTTCGTGGCCCCGTTGCAGCCTTTCGTGGCCCCCCTCGCTGCCCTTCTGGGCCCCGGTGCAGCCCTTCGCGGCCCCCTCGCAGCCCTTCGTGGTCCCGTTGCAGCCCTTCGTGGCTTCCTCGCTGCCCTTCGTGGCCTCGTTGCAGCCCTTCGTGGCCCTGTTGCAGCCCTTCGTGGCCCCTTCGCTGCCCTTCGTGGCCCCCTCGGTGCCCTTCTTGGTCCTGTCGCAGCCCTTCGTAGCCCCTTCGCTGCCCTTCGTGGCCTCGTTGCAGCCCTTCGCAGTCTGTCGCTGTCCATCGTGGCCCCATATATGTATGCCCTCCGTGGCCCCCGATTGTTCGCGCCCGTCGTGGCCCCATATGCATGCCCTTCTTGGCCCCGCAGTCGCCCTTCGTGGCCCCCTGGCTGTCCTACGTGGCCCCGTTGTTGTCCTCAGTGGCCCCGTCCTTGCCCTCTGGCGGCCCAATATACGCATGCCCTTCGTGGCCCCCGCTCGTTCGCGCCCGCCTTGGCCCCATATGCATGCCCTTCGTGGCCCCGCAGTCGCCCTTCGTGGCCCCCTCGCTGTCCTACGTGGCCCCGTTGCTACCCTCAGTGGCCCCGTCGTTGCCCCATGTGGCCCCGCACTATCTGCCCGTCGTGGCCCCCGTTCGTTCGCGCCCCTGGGGCCCCATACGCATGCCCTTCGTGGCCCCGCTGTCGCCCTTCGTGGCCCCCCTCCTGCCCTTCGTGGCCCCCCTCCTGCCCTTCGTGGCCCCGCTGTCGCTCTCGTTCTCGCTCTCGCTCTCGCTCTCGCTTTCGCTCGTCGTCATCGTCGTCGCCGTCGTCGTTGTCGTCGCCGTCGTCGTCGTCGTCGTCGTCCTCGTGGTCGGCCCCCTGTCCGTCCCTCTTGGGGTCGGGTTGCCGCGGATCAGCGTCGCCACTGGCCAGGCCGTTGGTCCGCGGCCGCCCCGTCGCTTGCCGGGGCCCGGCCTGCAAGGAAGAAATCTATACCCCCCCGAAATGGGTACGATCGAAGACGAAGAGGGCCGGTACCGAGGGTTTGGGAAACACACGTCGACGGACACTCGAGCAGATAAGAGCGAATAGTCTTAACATGATTGTTTGGGTTGTTGTTGTTATTGTTGTAGTTTTGTTGTTGTTGCTGTTGTTGTTGCTGTTGTTGTTGTCGTTGTTTCGTTTATGTCGTTGCTGTTGTTATTGTTTTTTGTTGTTGTTATTGAGATTGTTGTTTTTGTTGTTGCTGTCGTGATTTTTTGTGCTGTTGTTGTCGATGTTGATGTCTCACTGCTGAAGAGTATGTAGATTTGATCCCCCCATCCGGGACACATATGTGTTTTTCAATTGAAGTGCCCTTTCTGGGGCTTGCATCCGGTTTTTTATCAGGGAAAATCTTGGCTCTCAGAATTGTTGTTCGCCCCCGGTTTGCAACAACAGCGGCTCCCGGCGGATGATGCTTCACCATTTATTTCAAAATCGCGCTCTCGCGCGGGACATCCTCACAATTTCTACAGGATTCGTGCTCTCGCGTGGGACGTCCTCGCAAGTTATTCAGCCGCCGCGCCCTCGACACGCAGGGATCATTTTCTCACGATTTATTTGGGAATGGCGCTGTCGCTCCAGACTTTCTTTCGTTTCCTGCAGGACGCACGCTTCAGCCACGTGTTTTCTGCTCCTAGCTCCCCTGCTGCTACTATCTCTCGTGCTGCATTCTCCTCCCTCCCCCTTGTCCCTTCCTTCCATCCGTCCTCTCTTCTCCTGCCTTAGGGTCTGCACGAAATACACCTGGCCTGTAAGACAGGTACATACCCCCAAGTGGGTACGGTCGAAAACGATCAGGGTGGTATCGAGGCTTTACGTGATGAGTGTCCTGCGAGCAGATATGAGCGAGCAGTTTTACAATGTTTGTTGTTGTTGTTGCTGCTGTTGCTGTTGTTGTAGTTGCTGATGTTGGTGTTGCTTGTGTTGTTGTTGTTGCTGCTGTTGTTGCTGTTGTTGTTGTTGTTGATGTTGTTGTTGTTGTGGTTGTTGTTGTTGTTGCTGGTGTTGTTGTTGTTGTTGTTGTGGTAGTTGTGTTTGTTGTTGAATATTATTCCTTCTAAAGAATTATTATTGTTGGGACCCCTGGTGCGCGACCTCTGCGCCGCGCCTAGGCCGCAGCTACATTTTCATCATTTTTTCGCGAAAGCTTCAGAAAAGTGGATGAGCTCCGGATCCGGTTTTTTGTTGACGCTCGTTTTCCCTTGCAAAAAACAATAGAAAATGAAAATTCTTGTTCTTACTTGATCAAATTGCAAGAATCCCTTGCAAAAAATAAGGTAAAGTGGACATTCGTGCGCGCAAGACGAAATCCTTCCAAAACCTTAGGTTTCGTAACGATTTTAACATAAAAACATCAAAAACCCAATGGTTTTTTAAGAAAAAATTGTCAAAATGTCCTTCCGCGCGCGCTGTCCGAATCCCACAAAACCAATGGTTTTTCAACATTTATGTTACATGAGCTCGCGCGAGCTACTTTTTCTTGTTCTAACATAATCAAATTTCAATAATCCCTTGCAAAAAATAAGGTAAAGTGGACATTCGCGCGCGCAAGACGAAATCCTTCCAGAACCTTAGGTTTCGTAACGATTTCAACATAAAAACATCAAAAAACCCACTGGTTTTTCAAAAAAAATGTCCAAATTTCATTCCGCGCGCGCTGTCCGACTCTGGTTTTTCAACATTTATGTTACATGAGCTCGCGCGAGCTACTTTTTCTTGTTCTAACATAATCAAATTTCAATACTCCCTTGCAAAAAAAAAAGTAAAGTGGACATTCGCGCGCGCAAGACCAACAAAAAACACGACGATCTCAGGAACTTGCCCCAAAAATGTGACCAACTCCGCTCTCTCTGTCTCTCTCTCTGTCTGCTCTCTGTCTCTCTCTCTGTCTGTCTGTGTCATGTATTGTATGTCACAATTGCAGGATGCTGGGCACACGCGCGCCCCGAATAAGTGACCAAGTTCTGTGGGTGTGTACCCCACGCCAGTGTAGTAGCCACGGTCGTCCGCACGCCACGAAGTGAAGTGTCCCAACGTCATAGGGCGGGAAGCTGGGTTTGGGTGGTCGCGAAGAGTCGTTTGGATATTTGGTAGAGCTTGAACTGCCCCCCCACGAAGTGGGGGTATTGTCTCGCGTCGCATGAAAACCCTGGCACTGGTGAGAACACTGAGCGTTCGGGTAAAATGATTGTTGTTGTTGTTGTTGTTGTTGTTGGTGGTGGTGATACTGTTTCGGAAGGAGGACTATTGATGATCCCCCCGCTTCCCATGGTGATTTCCAATAGAAGTGCTCCTCCCTTGGCTCGCATCCTGTTTTTTTGCAGGGAATGGCCTCCTCCTCAAATGGTGCCGTTGGCCCCTTGCGTACGTCGATCCCCCCTCCAATGACCACTCTATTTTTCAATCAAAGTGCTCCTCCCGGGGCTCGCACCCATGTTTTTTTGAGGGAAGGTGAAATATTACCATATCGGGTTGTTGGCCCCCGGTTCACGACACCAGAGGCCCCCGCCGGACACTTTCTTTCAATGTACTTCCAAGTCGCGCTCTCGCGCGGGATATCCCGACAATTTATGCAGAAAGCGTGCTCTCGCGCGGGATTTCCTCGCAATTGTTCAGACGCCGCGCCCTCGACACTCAGGAATCATGCTCTCGTTGTGCATTCCTTCACGATTTACGTAGGAATCGCGCTATCGCTAGAGATTTCGTCGCGATTCATGCAGGACGCACGCTTCAGCAACCTGCCTGCTTGACCTGGCCGCTTGGGCCCGCCTTCCCGACCCGCTCGTTAGGGTCTACCCGCCCGATCTGCCCGTCTGGTTCTGCCACGTGTTTTCTGCTCCTGGCTCCCATGCTGCTATTCTCTTTCATGCTCCATCTTCCTCCCTCCCCCTTGCCGCTTCCTTCCATCCGCCCTCGCTTCTCCTGCCTTGGGGGCTCTGCGAAATACACCTTGTGGGCAAGGAAGATATATACCCCCAAGTAGGTACGATTGAAAACGAAGAGGGCGGGTATCGAAGGTTCTGGGATGTACGTGTTGGATGGCACGCGGGCGCGTAAGAGCGAACCGTGTTAACATGATGGAATCCTGATTTCTAGCAGATAGTTATTGTTGATCCCTCCCCTCCAGTAACCATTGCATTTTTCAATAAAAGTGTTCCTCCTTGGGCTCGCACTTCCTTTTTACAAAGGAATGCGAGGGGTCACCAAACTGCGCCCCTGGCCCCCTGTTTACAACCAGAAGAAATAATAACACCAGCAACAACAATAACACCACCACCAACAACAACACTTACAGAAACATTAATATTAACAACAATCATATCCGCACTAACAATAACAACAACGGCTCCCGCCTGATACTTCCTCACAAGGTATTCCACAATCGCGCTTTCGCGCGGACAATTTCTGCAGGAGGATCAGGAGGCGGATGAGGATGAGGATGAGGATCAGGAGGATGATGACGATGAGGATCAGGAGGAGGATGAGGATGATGATGAGGATGAGAGGAGGCGGCTGAGGTGGACGATGATGAGTGAGGATAAGGATGAGGAAGAGGCGGTGGAGGAGGATGATAATGAGGATGATGTTCAGGGGGATGGTGATGGTGATGACGATAATGATGATGAGGGGATGATGATGATGATGATGATGATGATGATGATGATGATGATGGTGATGGTGATGGTTGTGGTGGTGGTGGTGATGACGATGATGACGATGATGATAATGATGATGATGATGATGATGCTGATGCTGATGATGATGATGATGATTATGATGATGATGATGATGATGATGGTGATGATGATGATGATGAGGAGGAGGAGGAGGAAGACCCCTGACACGTCGGGAGCATCCGACAGCATGTCGAGAACAAACCGAACGGGGCCTTCTCCCCGCAGGAGCCCGCCGCGCTCTCCGACAGCCTGATCCGGGGCCTCAGCTCCCCCGCAAGTCTGCGACACGTCTGCCTGTCCCTGCGGCGCAGTGAGGCCTTCATCCCCTGGGCGTCGCCGCGGCGACGCCGACGACGGCGACGGCGACGGCGACGGCGACGGCGACGGCGACGTCTTCGTCGTCGTCGTCATCGTCGTCGTCGTCGTCGTCGTCGTCGTAAGTCATGGTCGTCGTTGATGTGTCGTCGTTCGGACAGGCCCAGCTCCAGAGCTTTGCGGGACGCTCTCAGATCGTCCTGGAGCGTCCTGGGACGGTCGCCGCGCCCGCTGCATCCTCCAGGCCCGCTGGTCCTCAGAGATTTCCGCTCCGTCCTCGTCCGAATCTGTATCCTCATACTACAGTCAACCCGCATAATCAGGATGGGCAACCTTCCCAAGGGCACCCTTGCATCCTTGCCCCTTCGGCCCATCCTTGGCCACTTTCGCTGGCCGCGCCCCCCTCGAAAAGCCTAGAAATGCCCTTTCAAGGGCCTCGCATCATTCTCGGGCGTCCTTCTTACACGGGTTGACTGTGCCTTCGTCTTGACTGTTTGGTCGTCGAGTTCGCCCGTCTGCGTCGGCGCTCACAAGCGCTCCCAGGCGCTCCCAAGCGCTCCCAAGCGCTCCCAAGCGCTCCCCTGCGCTCCCCGGCGCTCCCCGGCGTTCCCGATCGCTCCCAGGCGTTCCCAGGTGCTCCCAGACGCTCCCAGGTGCTGCCATGCGCGCCCAGGCGTTCCCAGGCGCTCCCAGGCGCTGCCTCCCAGGCGCTCCCTCCCAGGCGCTCCCCGGCGATCCCAGGCGCTGCCCAACGCGTCGTTTCGGATGCAATTCCTGGGGGGTTCATAATCAGCACCGTCGCTGGCGCATCCGTGGTCGAGGCCAGGCCTCATTTGGCACGCTCCCGTGCAATCCGGGGCTAATCTTGTCTCACTGTTGAGCCCCAGGGTTCCTCCAGCCCCATTCGGCTTAAGATCAGCGGCGAGCCCAGGGGGGAGTGAGAAGGGGCGGACCTTCTCAAAAGGCTCGGAAGCCCTCCCGGCCTTCTGATAAGTTTCCTAAGCCTTGCCCGAAGACAACAAACCTCTCAGAAGGTGCGAGGGCTTCTGAGAGGCCACGCCGCCTGCTGAGAAGGCCCTCTCCTTCTCACTTCCCGGGTGCGCCTGGTCGCCGTCGACGACTGCGGTGGCAAGGTCGACGGCGGCGGCGGCGGCGCGACGGCGGCGGTCGCCGATCTTCGGCGGCGAGCGCGGGGGGAAGTGAGAAGGAGAAGGCCTCTTCAGGAGGCGCTGGGGCTTTTCAGAAGGCCTTTCGCGTCGCGCCTTCTGATAAGTAGGTTTTCTGTGCCTTCGGGGAAGGCTTAGGACACTTCTCAGAAGGCCAGGGGACTTCCGAGCCTTCTGAGAAGGCCACCCCCTTCTCACTTCCCCCCTGGGCTCGCCGCCGAGCCGATCTATCGACGATGCATCGCCGAGCCCAGCTGAGGTTTCCCCCCTTGAGCCGAGCCCCCATTGACGTTTCCTCTTAGAGAGGGTCCATGAGGTCACATGGCATCTCCGGGGGACCTTGCCTGTCCAATTAATGGAAACCTTCTCTTGTATCCGACGCCGGTTTGGCGCGGATTCGGCGCGGATTCGACGGATTCGATGCTGATCCGATCCTGATTCGACGCGAATGGAGATGCCATGGAACAGACAAGGTCCCCCGAAGATGTAGCATACCTGAGGGACACGGGTCCTGGGGTCTTCCCGCCGTTTTTCTAGTTGCTCATGGCCCTTCCCCGAACCCAGACCTCGGGCAGATCGAGTTTGTCGATCCCGCAGTTTTTGTTTACTCTCTCAGCCCTGCTGTCGTTGGGTCCTCCTTTGTATCCGCAGCGCTCCGCGTCGCCTCGCGCCCGCGTCTTCCTGTCTCCATCTCGCGCTTCCTGGTAATCATGTTACCTCTCGCGCCGCACCACCAGGTGTGTCCGCAGGCTGGGCCGGGCGTTTCGCTGGAGACCTCCCTACACACAGTGTCTTCCTGAAAGCTGAGATCACTTCAACAGGCACACGGAGGGGTGTCTAGGCCTCCCAGATGGGGTCGGAGTAGATGGGGTCGGAGGGTCGCGCCGCATCGGCGATACATCGCCGATGCCGCTCGATGCGGAGCCCGATTTTCTCCACGCCGACGTCGCCGATGCGTCGCCGACGTCGGCGATGCATCGTCGGTGCATCGCCGATGCATCGCCGATGCATCGCTGATGCATCGCCGATGCATCGCCGATGCGGCGCGATCCTCCGACCCCATCTACTCCGACCCCATCTAGGAGGCCTCTAGGGTGGCTGGCCGTCTTCAAGGTGCGGCTCTCGCCCCTGCACCGCGCACGCTCGTCTCAACATTTTTTCCAGGAGTCACAAGGATTCACCACCTACCAAACCACCCCAACCCAACCCGAAGGCTCAGATTTACCCTCGATTTCCAGTGGGGGGGGGTCGGGGAACACTGAAAAAACACGTATGGAACCCTTACCCCCCCCAACCCGAAATTGGGGTCTTCGGGTTGGGTTGGGGTGGTCTGGTAGGTAGTCAGATTCCGTGACCCGCAGTGCCAAACCGTGCAACAGCTACATCCCTGGGAGGCGGCTCTTTTTCAGACGTGGATCTTGGCTTGCGGCTTATGGAACTTCCATGGCCATACTTTCGATCGAAGTTGTGCAACACCTACTCCGATGGGGGGCAGATCCGACTTGAAGTGGGCTATCACTGGGCTTCCTGTTTGGACTCATTCATCCTGCCACTGTAGTCGATCCCCTGCTCGAAATCTGCGCCTCTTGTAGCCAGAAGGATGGAGGGTGGATCCTCTACAGAACCAGGGCTCGCCTGAGTGGCAGGCCTGTGCTTGTCCTCGTGATTCAGGGGTTATATCGGGCATGTCCCTCTACAGGAGGAAAATTTAAAAAACAGTAAGCAAATCGTCTGGGGACGATGTTTCGGCGATGTTTGACAATGCTTGATTTTTTCGTGATATTGTTAATTTTTCGTCCAGTATCCGCCTGTAGGGGGACATGCCCCGACCTAATTCCAGGGGTCGCTTCCGCAGTTGGAATGGCTTACTTGTAGTGATTTCCAGAGAGGGGGCTTGGGACGGGAGGGTGTATTTCGGCATCGTTGGTCCTCCTCCTCCTTGCTCCTCCTCCTCTCCCTGCCCCTGCTCTCCAGCCGCGTGCCAATCTTTTGGGACACCGCTCACGAGTCTCCTCGCACCACGGGGAGCATCACCAGTGGCTCCAGTGGAGGGGCTCACGTGGCGCCCCCCCGCTCATTCCGGCACACCACCCTCAGGCGGATCGTGCTTCGTGACGCCAGCCACGAGGCGCGGTCCGCCTGAGGGTGGTCCCAGTCGAGGGGGCCCACGTGACGTCTCTCCGCGCATCTGGGCACACCCCCGTCGCGGAGTGAGAGCCCCGCGCATATGGCTCTGCAGGGCGTCCCGCCGCCCCTCTCGGCACACCCCTAGCGCGGATCGTGCCTCACAGGGAGGAGCTCCGTCGGTGGCCCCATGCCGTGGAGGCGCTCGGATGGCGGCCCCCCCCCCCGCCCATCTCAGGGCACCCCTCACGCGGATCGTGCCCCTCATGTCGGGGGTTGCTAGATGTGCCCCTGGCCCGAGGTGCCGAGGCGGCCCCAGCTTTCCTCTCCAGTTTGGAGCCCCTGGGCCCCCCTGCGGCCTCGCGAGGGGTGCTCTGGAGGCCGTGGGGGCCTCCTTGGAAATCCTGGGGGCACCTTGGGCCAGGGGCACCTCTAGCAGCGCCCGAACACGTGACCACTCAGAGCCCCCGTGGAAGAGCGAGCCCGCATGGCGCGCCCGTGCCGATCTCGGTGCCCACCCCGCGCGAGCGATCCCACGTGTGTGGAGCTCCACCCGCGGCCACCCGCTGGTGTGGATCCGTTGCCGGGATGCTGTTTGTGGGCGTGGGGCATTCGGGGGCACTCGGGGGCTGCGTTCCGAGGAGGGAAGCGAGGCACAGACATCAACTCTTCGGAGCTCCGCGCAGATTTCTCGGAGCGGCGCTGGGCCCGCCCTCCTGAGGCGGTGCTTCCAGCGCCGCCGCGGTCGTGAAGGGGGACCAAACGCAGATTCAATAATTTCGCGCGGACCTCTAACGGCTTATGTTTACCGTCAGTCCACATAGTACGGATGGGCAACCTGCCCAAGAGTACCCTTGCATCCTTGCCTCCTCGGTATGTCCTCGGCCACTTGCGTTGGCCAGGCCCCGCTCGAAAAACTTCGAAATGGGCGTTCGAGGCGCTTGTATCCTTATCGCGCATCCTTACTATACGGGTTGACAGTGCGCCGTTCCTCCAGATTCGGCGACCCTGGCGGGCGGGCTGTTCAGAAGCTGCTCTTGGGTCGCGGAGCTGCCCCCAGGAGAGGGGACGGCGCTTCCGGCCCGCGAATCCGAGCTCTGGGCCCGTGGGCCCAGGGCCGCCTGCTGAGGCGATATCGGGGCGAAGGACTGGTCTCGGGGAGAGGCCCCCGGGGTCCAGCCCTCAGGCCCCCTTCCCGTGAGCGAGGGGCTGAATGTAAGTCGGGCCTGTCCCTCTGCAGGGGCAATATTCAAGAATGGTCAAAAATAGTCAGGGGACGATTTTTCTATTATCTTTGACGATTTCTGTGTTTGTTTCAAGTTGCACTTTAAACAATCCGCCTGTAGGAGGACGTGCCGGGCCTAAGGCTAGATGCTCGTCTTGGTGATTGTCCTGGGGCCCACCTAGCGGATCTGTTCGACTCTAGTTCCCCGCACGTTTCGTGGGGTTCTGCTTCTCTTCTCAGCCGCGTCCCACCCGCGCGAAGCCCACACTTCACCTACCTGGTGAGCCCTCCCACCCACATGGGATCTGCGCTCCCACACAGCTCCCCCTCTCTCCTTCTCTTTCTCACCTTTACTCGCGCGCGCACCATACACGAACGAACATGCTGTATGACGCAGCACGACGCCCGCAAGATACACTCGTATGCAACCGTACACGCATCATACAC